CCCCCCCCCCCCCGGCCAATCAGGCCAAAAATGGTTTCCTGGGGGGAGTGGGTTGCCCAGGGGGGGTTTCCCCCATCGTAAAGTGAAAGGCGGCCTTAGCCCCCATGTTTCAAAAAAAAAAAAAAAAAAAAAAAAAAAAATCGTAAGTCAATTTCTTGGCTTTGTTGACTAGAATTACCATGAGAGTGCTGTTACACTTTTCCTGAGAAGGGATGTGCCCATGTGACCATGTAACCTTGGTAATTATATTCTTTTTTTTATTTTATTTTATTTTATTTTATTTTATTTTATTTTTGAAACCGGTCTCTATTTTGATGATTAATATGGTCATTATATGACGTACAGCGACCCGGATCACTTATTCAAGCACTATTTAACATTTTATGGTTATCGCTTAAATGACCATAAAATAAACAGATTATTGTAAAATATGTAAGATTTGAAATTAGTGAGAATTATGGTGTTATTAGAAGACGTACACCTGTCCGACAGTTAGAGCTGTGTGTCGCCACGACCAAAATGAATGATGCGATGTGAATCACTTAAAGTGTAGAATATGTTTGATAACGTCTTTGAGTCATATTCACGTCTGATTATATCTTGGAAAAAAGCATCTTTCCCAGTTAAAACCATTAAGAAATAACCCCTGTCGAATAAAAGTACTTTTATATCTATATTTTCTTCTAAATTGTCGACAAGACATTGCGTTCTTATTGATTGATGCTTCTGGCGGTTTGAAGTGAGTCATAAAAAATAAATAAATAAAAATAAATAAATAAATAGAAAAACTAAGGCCAAGTGCAGGGACAATGAACGGTTGGTAGGAAAGATTTTTTTCTAGATGAAAATTAGATTTGCCTGGAACATTCCCTAATTGAAAAGTGGAAGATAACATAGAAGAATACAATGGCCATGATCACGGATCGGGAAAAACTTTTTGTTTGCTTTATTGATTCCATTAGAAATGAGCCATTTCGTAAAGTGGAAACCAAGTACGTGTTTAAGTCTTTGTATACACGTCAGCTTGTATTTATTTTTTATGACATTAACTCAACAAACTTTCCCTAATGATACGCGTAGCTTCCGCATTATCCGTTTCCCCACGAATATCTGCCAAGAGTGACTGTACTTGGAACTTCCAAGTCTCGAAATCTACAGGGGGTTTACCAGAAAAAAGCCTTTACTTGCCGGAATATCCTCCAAAATGCGACATAAATAATAAACGCTGAGGTGCGTCTGCCCGAGTCGTCCCAGCCGTAGCAGAAACAGCGGCACCTCTTGCTAATTCGGGACACAACAATTGCAAAACCGCGGCCTTGTCGTCTGCATTTAAAGCTTCTAATTGCTCGTGTAATTGCGTATCGATACAACATTTATAAAACAAATGCGATCACACAGTCAACACACAGAAGTGCTCACCAAAAGTAAAAAAATACAATGTAGTTAATCCAAAAATGAACACAAAGAAAAAATATGTAAATTTAAATTGGAAGTAAAAATATGGAATGATTGAAAAAAAATTACTTCCAAAATATATAAAAAAATATGTCGGCAATAAATAATTTTGGAATGAGTTTGACAAAACAAAACAAAAAGATAACGATATTGATACCAAAATGTAGAAAAAAGTGATTGTCAAAACAAAACACAAAAAAAAAAAAAAAAAAAAATTAAAGAAAAAATTAAAGAAAAAAACACTATAGGACGCCTGACTAAGGACGAGTGCTGGGAACCATTGGCAAAGTGCCCATCGTCAATTTTTAAAATAATTTGCTATTATAAAGTTTATGCATATATTTTTTGCATGAAAAAATATTATTTGGTTTGATGCATCGCTACCTAGTTTTTTTTTTTTTTAATGAGTTATATGTTGTGGGGGGGGGGGGGGCAGACTTACCTGTTGTATGCAGTCTAATGAATCAGAGCAACTTGTTTCAGCATATATATATTATACAAATGATTTTTTCCATTGAAACATGTCTTGTGGTGTAAAAAGGAGTAATATGTTCAATACTTGTGGTGTGACACAAATAAATGGGAAAGAAACTGTATTTTTACATCCCAGAGAAGAGAAGAAGAGTTGATGTATGCTATTTTCTCCCCGAAACCGTCACTGATTTTACTCCACAGTATAAAAGTCTTGTGACTAGGACAACTTGTTTCAGCGTATTTATTCATTTTATATAGCTTTTCTCCTTGACCAGTGTAGCTCGCAGGGGCCACAGAAAAACGAGGCAAATGACAACTGGCATATTCCTTTACTTGAGCTTTATTTTCAAATATTCTCAGGTTGAAACAGCCGTGTAACTAAAACAAAAAAAAAAAAAAAAAATACAATTGTCACTTATTTGTCTAGCTGTTATCACCTATTATTTCTCACATAACATCTAAGTTTATAATACAAATTACAAATTAAATACATTTAGCAACCAGGTTATTAATTAATAAATTATATAATATAAACAAAGTAATACTGATAAAATACATTATGTACAAAATTGGCATAAACATCTTACCATTATGCCTCGACTGGGTAAACATGAAATTGCCACTGCATTTCTACACCTCTGCACTCCTCTGCAGCACACACCTAACTGACCCACACTCTCCTGGGTGTGACAACTAGGACTGTTCACTTATGCTAATGGAGTCCTTTTATTAAAGAAATGTGATAGATGTGCTTGCTCAGCATATCTGATGCAATAAACCATAAACTAAGTTTGATACAATCATTTTGTTCTTAGTTACATGTGTTGCTCTAAATAATTGTACTGATGACCAATTGATGTATACATTTTGTACATGCAAGGCTCTGTAAAGTACTAAAAATTGCTGAAAGCAAAAAGCTGTTACAGTAACAGCACACACACACACAAAAAATCATTTGTTAAAGCACTCTAAATAGCTTTTTGGAATGTTTTCATTAACCATAAAAATTAACAAGTATAAATTGTCCCAAAATAATGATAAGGTAAAATTAAAAACTGAATGAAAATATAGTATACATAGTAACAGTTATATGGCCAATAATCTGTATGACAATGAAATTAAATCACCGAAAAAGTACTTCATATGATTATGTTTGTGATAAAGACCTTGTATGGCAAAAAAAAAAAAAAAAATCTCGAGTACTATTACGAACAGTGCTGGTGTGGAAGGTTAAGTCATAAGTAAGAAAACTGAGGTGTGTGATGGAGCCTTTTACCTTTTAGGGGGTATTTACACAACAGTTTTGGTTGTACAAAATGTACTTTCATGCCCATTAAGAGTGGGTTGAGTCAAGCCACTCTTATGTGTAGAGGTACAGCA